GATGACGAAATTGCTCAATTACGAGAAACAGAAATAGAAAAGTTCGGAACCACATTCAAAATAAATCATCAAATGGTATTTACGATGATAGACGGTAAGGTAGCTCAAGCTGTAACTCACACGCCTTCATCATCTTCGTGGTTCATTTGCGGTTCCAAACCATCTCAAATGAACAACTTAACAGAAATTAATAAAAGGTCTAACAAAGAAAAGAAGCACTCAAATTAGGAATGTCACCCTTGCACGCACGAATCAAATTCATAGAATGTATATTACATATTGCCTACAATTTGTCTTTCAAGATAAGTGGTCAACAACGCCAGAAACACGCGTTAAAAAAGAAGAAACAAAAAAAAGAATACAAGACACTTTTTATAATAAACTTGGACTGAAGGTAGACATCGTTAAACAAGGTTCCGGATCATCTAATGACGGAAATACTTCTCGACGATTTTTTGCTGATCCAAAAATCACAGCAGAAATAACTGGAGTTGACGAGAAATTGATCAGAAGATTTTCCACAATATTACAAACGATTAATTGTGGTGAAGAAATAAATTCAGAAAAATTCGGTTCTTATGCGTACAAGGCAGCGGAAATATTTATTGAAAAATATTCTTGGTACTTTATGCCAATTACCGTTCATAAAATTCTTCTTTACGGTAAGGAAATTATAGAAAATGCCTCGGAAAATGCAGCGTTACCTGTTTGGGACATTATCGGAAGAAGTTCAAGAGGCAAGAAATAATTAAGGACTATAAACGATATCGACTTAATCATAGTAGAAAATGTAGCCGTCTGTTTACAAATGAAGATGTTATGCATATGATGCTCGTGTCATCCGATCCGTTAATAACTAGTTTAAGAAGTAAACCACATCAAAAAAATTTAGACTTAAGCGATGATCGACGCAAGAATTACTTTGCTCTTATACGTAAAATAAATGTAAATTGAATTTTTATTTAATTTTACTCAAATACTTGTTCCTATCATTAATTTTTAATAAATATACACTTTTGCAATTTTTATAAGTCAACATTGAAAGGTTCTATAATTATTCATTACATATTTTACAAGTAACATAATTTTTTCCGCGATTCGCGCAAACGGCTCCACTGTGCGCCGCGGCCGCAGCATATCCCCTCTAACTGGCTAGTTCGGACACGAATCATTAGCACGGACGCAAACCATGTGCGGTTACCGAGCGAAACGACGTAGTTGATACGCACTTTCTCAGGCGGCGCGTCGGAAAATGTGACACAGAAAAATTGACGAAAAATGCCGGGATGGCCTCTCTCAGGTTTCTCTCTGGTGAGGTGCTTTACAAGGGCTGCGTTCCGATATTCACTGTCAGTACTGAAAATCTATAGTGTACGTTACGTAAACTATAGATTTTCAGTACTTGCAGTGAATATCGGAAGGCAGCCAAGGAAGAAGAAGAAGCGTGAATTCGAAGATGGCAGGTGACAGTGCTGTTGACGAAGATATGGAGATTTTACCGTCCACGAGCAACGGTGACGCGAAGATCAGGGAGAGAGATGGTAAATCCGCAAAATTACCGTGGTACGTTTTATTTTTCCGAAAGATTTATTTCCATTTTTCGATTGCCTCGTCACGAGTTTAGGTTATCTTTCGATCAGAGGCGGGATTCTGTAACTCCTTAACGACAGTTTCGGTATCGTTGCGCAGCTTTTTTACCATGTATAATAATACCTTCGCAACGATACTAAAACTGTCGGGAGTTACAGAATCCTGCTATAGATCTTGAGGCTCTAAACAAAGTGGCATATTTAAATCTGGATAAATAGTTTGGAAAACGTAATTAAACTATGCAAATTTATTTTAAATTAGTATTTAATTATTAATGTTTAGAGATTGAGAGCATAACAATATTGCTGGCTTAATGTCATACATATTAGAAACATTTTTTATTACATGAAAATGCTTAAAAGTTTTATTGATTATGAAGTTTTGGAAAAAAAAAACATATATTGACAGCAGTATTAATTAATTGTATGAAGATTCCTTCAGCTAGCTGTTACATTTTGGATAATATAAGCATGAGATTATTATTAATTATAATATATCATTGGTTATAAATACAATAGAAAATATTATTAGTTGTATAAATATGAGAATGTTATTATTAGTTTTTGTTATCCAGGATTGAAAAATATCGGCCTCAAGTATTTTCCGACATTGTTGGCAATGAAGACACTGTATCTAGATTAGGTGTCTTCGCTCAGCATGGAAATACTCCAAATATCATCATCGCTGGCCCGCCTGGAGTGGGTAAAACTACCACGATTTTATGTTTGGCTCGTACTCTATTGGGACCATTGTTCAAAGATGCTGTACTTGAACTGAACGCTTCGAACGAGAGAGGGATTGATGTAGTTAGAAATAAAATCAAAATGTTTGCTCAGAAAAAGTTAAGTATAGGATAGATAAGATCTTTTTCTTCAAATAATTTCATATTTTTGTGATTTTTTTAAACTTGCAGGTTAATCTTCCAAGAGGAAAGCATAAAATCATCATTTTAGACGAAGCCGACAGCATGACTGACGGTGCGCAACAAGCATTACGTCGTACAATGGAAATTTATAGCCAAACAACTAGATTTGCTCTCGCGTGCAACAACACAGAAGAGATTATCGAACCTATACAATCACGTTGCGCCATGTTAAGATATGGAAAGTTAACGGATGCCCAAGTCTTGGCCAAAGTTCTCGAAGTCTGCGAAAAAGAGAATGTAATTAAAATATTATATAGGCGGAGGTTTCAACTTGATTTACAGTATTATTTATACTTTTACTATTTGCAGGTTTCCTACACAGATGACGGTATGGAAGCAATAGTATTTACAGCTCAAGGGGACATGAGACAAGCCCTAAATAATCTGCAGTCCACATACAATGGATTTAATCACGTGAATGCAGAAAATGTATTTAAAGTCTGTGATGAGCCTCATCCGTTAATTGTCAAAGAGATGCTAGATGATTGTATAAAGGGTGATGTTTCTAAAGCATGCACGGTAATAACATTTAAAGATACTAATACTATACGCGATCAAAAATACTAATATGTATGCGTATCCAGATATGTATCGTGTTAGATTTACAAATTAAATTTGCTAGGTAATGGATCATTTCTGGAAGATGGGATATTCTGCGGAAGATATAATCAGCAACGTATTCAAAGTTTGTAAAAATCACACCATGGACGAGAAACTGAAACTGAAATTTGTCAAGGTAAATTGGCATGCTACAGCATTAATTAGTATTAATGGTACAATGTTATATTCGTTTTATTTTTATGTACTTTCAAAATATTCTTAACATTAATTCGCAGGAAATTGGAATAACACATATGGGAGTGGTAGAAGGTATCAACAGTTTGTTACAGTTACATGCTTTAGTGGCAAGACTTTGCCGCGCATGCACATGAAAATAATTGTGTAAAATGATTATATTGCTCTCTATTCTCTTATATTCATACATTTTCGCTATATATAATTTTAATTAAAATTTAATTATAATATAATTATTATAAGATTCTTATAATATGTCAGGTTTGAAAATACTTTGTCTCAAAATCCTTTTCCTAGAAATATCGTTTTATTTGTGACATCTACAAAGTGTAATGCACGGTATAGCTCGTGTCTAAATAGCACTGTACATGTGCAACGTGTTAATGTGCAGCTCATTGGATATATTGTCAAAAGAAGTGACAGGACTAGCAATTTTAAGAAACAAAACTTTATATTTGCACATTAACTTACTATCGAAGACTTGCAACGCTCAAAAATATGAAAAAAAACTTTCAAATAATACTACATGTGCATTCTCGGTTTGTAATAGTGATAATAACGATAAAGATCGTATATATATATATTCTGTATATTTAACGTAATTTGTACGAAATTTTATTTCTATGTAATATTATCCTTATTATATTATAACATAATTACGTTGTGGAATAAATTTTTAAATGCATATTTGTGAAATGTATTGTACTCGAAATTTTCTTATTCTGTGCCAAAGATAAATCACGCGATAACTTTGTACATTTATACACTTAACTAGTAGAAACATGCTTAATTAGCAAATCACGTTAATTTTACGAGATTGTAATATATTGAGTTTATGTATCATCTTTACGCATAGAATTGTATCAGCAAATATTAATATTATATATTTTTCTTGGAAGCACGGTTCATTAAATTACGTCATTGAAATTACAAAGACGAGCTAATATTTCATTAACCGTAGGAAAACACGAGTATGTGTTACATACAAATTGCAATATTCGCTCAAATCAAATATGTCCAAATATATTAGACTTTTCAGCCCAGTAAGTCGATTAATTATATCAAGCTATTGCAGATGTTTATTTTGAAAACTTCCATCTATTGTATAAAAAATATTGTTATTTTTATCAATTAATAGATTTTTAAAAAATATAAGTAAGTGTATGTGCATTTAAAGTACAAAGCATATAGATCCCAGGCGCGCACTTTTTGGATAGCGCTTTTATAAGTTGAGTTTTATCCGTAATAATATATGCGATTTATCAGTCTTATATTTTTTCATTTTCTCGAGCAAGATAATTATTTTAGAAAGTGAACGTGTAAGATTTCATGGAAAGAGTCGAGTTAATTAAGTTGTTAAAGTCTGAACGTTGTTATAGACATAGACATTGATCTTAGATTCTATCCTTGCGACATGACGCGCCCCTGGGGCCATATTCTGTTCCGCTAAAATCCGCTTACCGACAATTGTCGGTGTGATATGATATACTATAATTATTATATCGTAATTATATATTTTATACCGTAAACTTAAAACTAATCTTGATTAGAAATAAATCGGTGTGCTAGTCATTGGATTTGATAGAGCGGGCGTATAGATTGAACTTTATCTTTAACGTGCGCATCATCATCGCATCAGTTGCAATGTAATCATCCAGACAGCACCATGTCCAAAACACGTCGGGACAAAAGACATCTTAAAGATCATTAAGAGGTCTTTTAGACATCATATTATAAATCTTTTTAAGATATCTTTAAGATGTCTTTTGTCCTGAGTTTGGATATGCGTGCTGTTTGGGCAATTACAAATCATATGCGTTTCAAGAATTTATATTAGGTGGAATCTTCGTTTTCATTCTTAATTATCATTAACAATATCGACATTTGTTTCCGTCCTCTTTTTCTCGCAATTTGTCGTAATGTCTCAATGCTACACTTTCAAAATTTCTAGCTATCTCGGGAACCGCTTCCGCTTATCCTCTTTTTCTCTTCTTTTCCTTCGCTCTCTTTCTCTCGCCCGAGAAACGTCCGTGAATTCCAAATGTTCAGCACCACTTCTCTATCGGCATGGACGTTAAGTGCGCTCTCGGCTTCGGAGAGGGCCATCGTAGGGCACTCTGACACGATTCCGCCCTGGAGGGAGTCCTCGGGGGTGGTTGTGGCGGACCGGCGTGGGGCTCTTGGGAGTTCGAGTTCGCGTTCGCGTTTCCGTTCATCTCGGATCGCGATGCAATCTTCTCCGCAGGTGGATCGCCGCGATGGTTCCTCTTCGTGGGTTTCCGAGCCATGTCATGTGGCGCAGCCGGTGGAGCGCTTTCTACGGACTGAAGACTTGCCGCGCGATGCAGAGAGAGCCGCAGCGGTTTCTTCGGTGGCGCGGGACGAGTCTTCCCTTCCTGAGAGCTGTACACCGCCGATACCTCTGAATTGTCCGCGCGAGACTGAGAATCCTAAAATGCGGGAAAAGAGTTAGACACAAATACATACTGCATTAGAGTTTGTTGAAATATATAAATATAAATGTAGTATATTTTGATACGTACTTTGCGAAGTGTGATATATGTATATGGAATTTTTAGAGGTAAATGCAGATATATCTAATGCAACTATAGTTATTGTTCATTGAAATATACCTACGATATAAATCTCAAGTCGTTTCGAATATTATTCAAAACAAAAACTTTTTAGTATATTGAATGTCTTGAACATTCTAAACTTTTTTTCTTATATTTTTTTCTCTTATAATACTGCGTTATTTATACAGGCATTATAAAAAGTTTCGAGACGGCGAAATATCTCGAAAAATATAAATTTAAAAAAATATTTTAGATACAAATTGTGTAGATTTAAAAAGGTTTGTTTACTGGTCTAATCAGATTTGACCTTGGATGATATCGCCAAGGTCAGGTCAAGGTCGTCTTAAACTTTTAAATAGGACCTCTTATTCTTTATTGCATATTCTTATAGTCCCTGTTGAAGCCTTTTCAAAACACTATAATTTCATTCGCTTTGGATCAGCCGAGCCGTTTCGAAGTTATCAAGCTTTTTATGATAAGATGTTAGGCCAGTAAAATTAGCTCGAAAAACACCGAATATCTACAAAACGGATTGACAAGCCAATTTTTTGAGGGTGAGTAGAGGGTCATAGAAGATGCCCAAATTCACAAAGTTCCAACAAAATTTCCCTGTGCGTCGGCGGCAATCTTGAAAATAGGGGTGAATATTTAAAGTTTGAATATCTCGGCTTCTATTGGTCAAATTTTGTTCTTTTTTTTTAGTTTTGTAGGAAAAAATATTTGCTACAACTTTTGTTCGAAAAAATTTTTAATAGCTGTCAAGGAAAAAAAGTTAAAACCATAAAAGTGCCGTCAATTAGGGGTTGAACAATTTTATTGACACTTATATCGCCCACTGTTAGTTTGATAAAAAAAATGTTCCAATAAAACTTGTAGAGGATT